ATAATGAATAATTCCATATATTCAAATAAACTTTATTACAGACTCTAGTTCCAATTTATATTGTTGAAATACTTAAAGTAGCACAATGATAGTAGTCTCACAAGTCTCTATAGAGATCATAGCTGGCAGAGAAATACCCCAACATCTGTAACTGGAGCACAGTCATTTTCAGGGTATTTTTGTGTTAAAAATCAAAACACCAAAAAAATGACTTCGCACTTGCTTAGTGTTGGTTTTTAGGTAAAATGCTCACAAAATATCTTAATGCAAGTTCATGGGGTATGACTGTACATCGTCCACATCTTCAACACTATAACCATATAGTGTTGATTTTGTATTTGCTGCTAATAGCTCTTGACATTTTTCAGCACGGTGCATCTGAGTTCCCATCTCTCCGTTCTCGCTGCACTTGTTCAATATGTGTCTCCTTATTTGACCTCTTCTTCTTTCTGTCTCGCTCCATGTCTTGGCAACATGCTTTATATCCTCCCACGTGCGATGTCGAGAACACTGAGTTCATATGTGTCCGAGACAATTAAGTGTGATTCATCCACTTTTTGACCCAGCTTCCTACTAAGGCTTATTATTTATGACCAAGGCGTAGCAGTTTATTTAAAGGAACAGAGCTACTATCGCCATCTTACGTCACACAAAACTATAGTGGTTTTATATACTGTACACTTAGAGACCAACCATAAACATTCGGCCTAATTGTGCATTTTCACCTAGTCTGTACTTTCTCACCAGGGTTTGTTCAAGAGTTTGTGAGAGCTGACCGTCTGGCCATCGAGACACAAAGACACACATTTGACACTAAGTGGAAAGACAATTGCTACTTGTATAATCATTGTTGCATAATACGCACACTTTGTTCCAATTCAAAGGCTTCAATATAACAAATGTGCAAGGTTTTTATAGTTGACATACAGTATGTATGAGAAAATGCATTTTGTTTACTGCTTATTATAATGCAAATATAACTTTTTGAATTATTGAACAGCATAACAACCACGTCGATCTTTTTAAACATGGAGTAAAACTGTCTGCGCATCGTCCTCAAATGTCCTCTGTTCAGGTGGGAAAACTGTCACACGCAGGATCCTGGGGACGTCAGTTGTGTTGCAGAGCATGATAAACAACATACAGTTAACGTGAGAGAGGCTTTCACATAAACATCTAAACTAATCTGTATCATTTCCATAACATTAAATTTCCTGTTTCTACATAAAACCACTCTCCTCCCTGAAATAGAAAAGCAATTGTTGAGCAGTCTAGGATACTCCCTTCCTTATACGTGCACTCATACATATGTGCTTTTGATTCATCGGTGCGTGTGTGTTTGTGTCACGTGTGTCTCTGTATTTGTGTGTTTGTGTCGTGTGTGTGTGTGTGTGTCTGGGGGCAGCAGGGAGACAGACGTGTTGGGAACATGCTGTTCAGAGCACTGCACCATCTCTGTCACCTCCTCCTCCTCATGCACTTCTTCCTTTTTCCTCCGATACTTTCTCACTTTCCCACTTCCTTCAGCTCATCTTTGTCTAGTGCGTGTCTCCCGCTCAGGCGACATGAATTATTCAAACTGTGTTGTACTGCAGGTTTTCCCCAGTCTCCGCCCACTACACAGTCATCCCCAGTCCCGCCCCTGTCCTTCCATCTCTCCAATTGCAATTGGTTCAACAGTCTTCATCATCAATGTTTTCTATATATCAAAACGTTTAATTAACCTTTTGTGTGTACATATTTTTGAGTGATGTGCTTGCAAAAAATATACTTCCTAATGCTATTTAATGATTATTGTGGTGTGGCCCTTACTGAATGAAAGTGTAGTGGACCAGAGCCTTTGCAGACTACACAGTTCATATGTGAAAATTTGTCCTTCCTGCCATTGCCGTGTCTATACACCAGACCAGGAATGAGCATCTTGTGGAGCCACATGCGGCTCCTCAGTCTGCTTGTAATGGCTCTTTAGTCTTTCTATATGGATGGTAACAATGCGTTTCACAGCATGTCCTCTTGCACGTTTGAGCTATAGCCCATATGTCCTATTCATCTATAGTACATACATGTGTCTGTTGTGTATTGAATGCTTAAAATATTTGCCTATTTATTTCTTGCTAGAGAAGGATACAATATTTTGCTATTAAAGGTTCCTGACCCCTTATTGTATTTATGTTATCTCCCAGAACTGCTGAGTAGTATTTTCAGAAGTTATACTCACGTCTGTATACGATACTTTTGCAGAGCATCTGTTCTATGTGTTAGAGAATTGGCCAATTTGTGCCGTCTGGATTTCCGGGCGCTCTCATCATCCCTCCCTTCCCAGCAGCAGCAGCAGCAGCATCATGATTCATGACAACCTCCAAAAGCTCTCGATAAACTGGGAGTGTCGGAAGCAGTGAGTCACGAATCAGCAGCCTGGTGATGGTCAGTGATCCTACTGGACCAGGACCGGTTTCTGCCGATAAAGCTACTGAGAATGGGATTTCCAAGGAACATCTTGTTTTTGATCATTTCTTAGACAAACACCTTCTCTATGGAAAATGATGCAGAAGTGACGCAGGAACAGAGTCCTGGAAAATCTAATGCAGTCATATACATTAGCAGAAGCAGCCCACTTACTCACTGTTTACCAGAATTAATTTATCAGGCGCTAACAACTACTGACAGCTCTATAATGAGGAAGTAAACAATGCCAAAGAGAATCAACACTGTTGAAACAGGGCAGTGAAGTAGGGTTAAATGAGGACAAATGTGGTAAATTTGACTATTTTTAGTGTTATTGTCATTTTCATGTTGTTTGTCAGATCCTTAATGTTTGACACATAAAAGAGTATTTTTGGTGCTTTTTTCTATACATATTTCTGAGAGATGTTCAAGTGAGAATTAAAAAAGCATTTTTTTTTTTTATGAGGTCAGACTCTTTGAATGATTCAGATTTCTAACTACATTGTTTTTATCCTTTGATTTAATTACACAGAAACCCAATTAATTGACGGATCTTTTGTGTAAATAACTATGTATATATCTATATTCATAGAGTTATAGATACATAAAGAAAGGTCCCTAATTTTTCAAGTAATTGTGTCATTGCATGTTATTGCATTCTAACTTCTGGTCTGAAACACAGACAGACAGGATTACATTAGAAATACAAAATGGAGAGGCGGCGGAGCGTAAAAAGGGAATTTGAGGCGACTCTCCTGAAATTGCAGTTGCTATGGCAACCACACTGCAGCGTCTGAGTATTCCAGCTCGTCATGTGAGGGAGGGGTGGGGCTTAGGAATGGGAGTGGGAAACTCCCAGCCAATCAGAAGCAGAACAGAGAACTGACACATTTCCCACATGCAGAGCGCCAAGTCTTAATGAGGTTACACAACTGCTCACCCCCAAAAATGCTGGACGTCACTAAACAGTGTGTTGCCTTTACTCCGGTTTTAACTGGATCAGACCTGCTCAATCTTTGCACTTGTTTTTAGTGAGGATAAGATATACCTTTACTTCACACCAAAGCTTGACTTTTATTCATCATTATAGTATATGATTGTGAGCAAAAGGATATGTTTTTTTTACTGGAACATTCTCTATGACGTTCTTGGTCTCATGGTTTGAATACAGACGAGACAATGGTCATCACTTCTGAATTAGAGAGAGGGACTTCTGATATGTATGATATGTTCGGAAAGTCATTCCTTTTGAATCATCCATTCATTTTCTTCAGCTTTATGACTCATCAACATGTGGGTCTTTCCTGGGGGCTCCTCCTCAGACATGTCAAGAACAACTGCCCACAGAAGTATTCTGGAAACATCCGGGATACAAATGTCCAAGCCACCTGAACTGGCTCCTCTTGATGTGGAGGAGCTTTGGCTCTACTCTGAGCTCCTCCTGTGTGACTAAGCTCCATCCATCCATCCATCCATTTTCTTCCCCTTAATCCATTCCTGGGTCGGGGGGGGGGTGGCAGTCAGAGCTGCATCCAGTACACATAGCACCAGCCCCTCACTGATCCTCCTTACACTCTAAAGTTTCAGGATGACAAGTTTAACAAATTATTTTTACTGAATATCAATATTCTGAGTTTAATATGATCCCCTTGGAGGCTTTTGTTTGTGATGTAAATCGAGGACATGACTTGTTGCTGTGGTCACGTGCACAGCCTAAAGCCCGGTTAAAGTGGCCCTGGGCCCACTTTGTGATTACGTCCAGGCTTTAGGTGCTATGTGACCACGGCAATTGGGCTTGGGCACGGTTGAGAGAAGTGGGCCTGAGCACGCTTCTAAAGCCCAGATGAGGGGGGTCAATGTGGCGTTTGGTGGGGAGTGGGGGATAAGGTGTGGAGGGGACGTGATATTGTGTGTCACATTACGTCTTCCTGCTGCGCCCGCTGTGATGTGCCTTTTCACACACGTCTCTCCTGCACTTTCGTATTCTCTGCTTGTGTTACTCCATTCATGTGAGCCCACGGATCGTGGTCGAGGGGCGCAGGGGGGTGTGTCGCTCCAGGGCCAAAGAGAAGCGTTCACAGGAAGAACTCCCCTCTGTTCTGACCCTCGCTCTCACAGTGTGCTGCTATTGCAATAACACTTCAGACGTTCAAGAATCAGTCTTTATTTAATCGCCAGAACACACCAACACACATTTGCCTGGCACCGGGTTGCTCTTATTGTACGCCACATTTTCATTCTGTCACGTGGGTGAAAAACAAATGAGGCCCAAAAGGCAAAAACTGCAAACTGATGGATTTAATGAAAGTAATACAAATCAAGACCTACCAAAAACACAGGGAACGGACAGAACCAAAACAGACTACGAATGACAATGACTGAACAGGGAGTGAAGGAACACACAGGGCTAAAGACAAGACTAACGAGACACAGGTGATACACATGAGGGCAGGGCAGGTAATCAGACAACAGGAAGTACAACCAAAGAAGACACAGGAATAACACATTTCAAAATAAAACAGGAAATAAACTTAAACCATGACAGTACCCTCTCCTCAAGGGACGGATCCCAGACGTCCCAAAAACAAAACCAGGGAGGGAGGAGGGGGACCGTAGGAAGGACCGGGGGGGTGTAACCGGCACGTGAAGCCGGGGCCGGCACGTGAAGCCGGGGCCGGCAGGTGAAGCCGGGGCCGGCACGTGAAGCCGGGGCCGGCACGTGAAGCCGGGGCCGGCACGTGAAGCCGGGGCCGGCACGTGAAGCCGGGGCCGGCACGTGAAGCCGGGGCCGGCACGTGAAGCCGGGGCCGGCACGTGAAGCCGGGGCCGGGACGTGAAGCCGGGGCCGGGACGTGAAGCCGGGGCCGGGACGTAAGAAGCCGGGGCCGGGACGTGAAGCCGGGGCCGGGACGTGAAGCCGGGGCCGGGACGTGAAGCCGGGGCCGGGACGTGAAGCCGGGGCCGGGACGTGAAGCCGGGGCCGGGACGTGAAGCCGGGGCCGGGACGTGAAGCCGGGGCCGGGACGTGAAGCCGGGGCCGGGACGTGAAGCCGTGGCGTGAAGCCGGGGCCGGGACGTGAAGCCGGGGCCGGGACGTGAAGCCGGGGCCGGGACGTGAAGCCGGGGCCGGGACGTGAAGCCGGGGCCGGGGCGTGAAGCCGGGGCCGGGGCGTGAAGCCGGGGCCGGGGCGTGAAGCCGGGGCCGGGGCGTGAAGCCGGGGCGTGAAGCCGGGGCCGGGACGTGAAGCCGGGGCCGGGACGTGAAGCCTCAGAGCTGGAGCAGGAACTTGAGCCGGGACTGGAGCAAAACGGGTACGGAAGGCCCCCTGGATGGAGAACAATATCCAGCGGAGCCAGGTCAGGGACGAAAGCCTGCAACCACCCAGGACGGAGCAAAGTGTCCTGCAGTGGTCCAGGACACAGACAGACAGGGATGCGTCCAGCTCCTGCAGCAACTCTTGAGACCAGTCGGGGACAAAGGCCAGAGATGACAGAAAATAAAAAAACAAAAATAAAGCAGTCTGCTTGGGCCTTGTGTGGTTCCGTCATTCTGTCACGGGTAAACAAGGAAGGACCCAAAAGCAGAACTGCAAAAGTAATATAATTTAATAAACACCACAAAAAGTATAACTGAAACCGGGAACAAGACATGGGGGAAAAACAACAATGAACCAACAACAAGAGGACAGGAGCACAGGGTCTAAATACATACAGGTAGACACAGGTGTAGCACATCAGGGAGGGGCAAACAATCAACGAGACAGACAGGTAGTAAAACTTACGACAAGAGAACAAACATATCAAAATAAAACCAGATACATCAACAGAAAGTCCACACCATGACACATTCTTTCATTCATTTCTCAGCGCTTATGCTCTTTACTTAGACAGACTTTATTGATCCACAAGGGGAATTGCATTGTCACAGTAGCTTGCAAAGTATTCCAAAATAAAAATAACAATGAAAATAACAATAAAGTAACAATCTGAAAATAATAATAATAATAAGATAATATTGTGAGAATAGAATAATCCGGATCATATACACACTCACAGGTGTTCCACTGAGCTGCAGTTTGGAGAAAGACGTCTCACACTTGTAGCGCCACCAGCTGGACCGAGCATTGTACTGCAGCACAGTTGAGAAAATAAAACCCTTGTGACCATGGGCCGTCTTCACACCCCTTTGGCGACTATCTGGGACATTTCGTAAAATTCTAATTCAAGTTTCCAGTAGCAGAACATCCATTCACACAAACAAAACAAATAAATTGATCATTCTAAAAAGCTAACAATAGAAATAGTAATGATAAGAAAGAGAACTTCAGGTCACAGAGACAGAGGTTCACCTACCCCACCTGACACACACGCACCCACCATTCCATATTGCACTCCTGTTTTATTCTGTTGCTCCTGTTTTTAATGTTTTTATTATGCCTGTACAGTATCCTCGGGTGTTTTTAAAAAGGCACTTTTAAATAAAATTTATTATTATTATTATTCACTGAGGGTGGAGCAGGACAGGCCACAGCAGCAGAGGCGGTCTAGCCTTTGGGTGGAGCCGCTTGTAAGCAGTAATCAGAGCAAAAGGTGCTACTTTGAAGACCCAAGAATATAAGACATAATTTCAGTTGTTTCATACTTTTTTTTTAAAAGTACGTACATAATTCCACATGAGTTAATTCACTAAAAAAATCTACATTTTTCATAATCATGAAAATAAAAAAAAAACTCTTTGAATGAGAAGGTGTGTCCAAACTTTTGGTTTGTACTACGTGTGTATAGATATATATGTGTGTGTGTGTGTGTATTTGCAGGAAGTATTAATATTCACGTACAAAACTTCATCAATCAAACTTTAGTTTTAGTCAAATATATCCTTCTGAAGTTTGTCCTGTAAATACACAATTAAATTGCATTGCATTGTGTGGCTTCAGATCAAAATTGAAAATAACTGTTTTATGAATAACATATGAAAAAATATGTACTGTGGGATATATATCTAATCATACATCAAATAAACTAAAATGAAATGTATTTAAAGGGTTGTAATGATAGGATTAGAATATTTGAGAAATATGTTTTTGTATGTTGCAGAGCAGTAATTGAAAACCAGGTGCTGCACTTCTGGTACTGCATATGTTTCAGCGTAGTTTTTGTCTTGACCACAGGGGGCTCCCCGGTGTCTCTCTCTGCAGCAGCAGGCTGGAAGCAGGGGCGCGGCTCTGCACCGATTCGGGTCAATGAGTTTTTTGTGGTGGTAGGGCAGTGAGAGACACCAGAAGATGCACAGTGCACCACACAGTTAAAAACCACTGGTATATTAAGTTATTCATATTCCTGCATATGTGATTTGAAACCCTCTCCTTGACCTTATCTTATGTCCTGAACATGCAGATCTAAATTGAGCTTCCTGCATGATGAGCAAAATCTCCTGTGACCTACTGTGTAATCTCAATATGTGCAGGAATTCGGCCCAAGTCTAGTTTGTAATCGAAACTGCTATACCTGCAATGGCCTCATACCGAGATACGCTTAGGTGTGTAAATGTGCAGGAACATGCAAGTACAGGTAGGACCATTTGTGTTGGGGTGGCGGAGATGAAACGCTGCTGTAGGGATTGGGTTACGGGCAGAGAGTGCATGGAGGAGATCCGGGAGCTGAAAACTGAGCCAAGCTGGTTAGAGTGGATATACAGTACAACTCTGCAATAGACAACAGCACAGGCACACACACGCACACTCCCTCTCACAGAGAGTGGGGGGAATCGAGGTCGGCTTGGCACTCTGTCAAATTTCTTTCTCGCTCCCTCTCCGCTCTGCGTAGAACTACTCTACACTCAAAGGGGCTAAAGCGTCGTTGCACCATTTTGGAGCTACAAAAAGCTGGGGGCATACAGCACTCTCACACACACTGCCGTAACAAAATGAACATATATCGTGGGGATGTAGTAATAGTGTCACGGGGTGGGATGATGGAGGACTCAAATGCAGGAATGCAAAAAATTTAATAAAATAAAAGTCCAGGTGAAAACTAAACTCAAAATCCAAGAATACAGAACCAGGAACAAAGACAGAACTTGACATGACGAAACAGGACATTGACATAACAATGGACCAGCAACATGTGGAGAGGGGCACAGGGTAATTATAGACAGGGACACAGGTGAAACACATCAGGGCGGGGCAGACAATCAAGACAGGGGAAACAGCACAGAAGTCAAACTCAAAACCAAACCACAGAGAAAAAATGTCAAAATAAAACCAAAGTACAAAATAACAAAATCCACACCGTGACAGTACCCCCCCTCCAAGGGACAGCTCCCAGATGTCCCCAGAAAATAAACACGAGCCAGGGAGGGTGGAGGGGGCAGTCCAGAGGTAGGAACAACCACAGACCAGAGGCAATGTTCGATGGACAGAATCGAGGGCAGGAACTAGAACCCAGTGATGACCTTCCACAAAAGGTCTGGCTCACCCCGAACGAAGACGAATGTCCGGCGGTGACGCAGCAACAGGATCAGAACCACCCCAGACGGAGATCCATGTCTGGCGGTGGCAACGGGTGAAGGGAAGGAGAGGTCATCATTGGGTAGCAGCCAAAATGGGTAGAAAATCCAGACAGACAGCACCATCCAGGCCAGAGCGTCACTGTAGACCTCTCAACATGTCAGGGGGGGGGACAGAAGACCACCCCGGACGGAGACGAATACCCGGCGGTGGTACAAAGGGACAAGACCACCCCAGACGAAGGTTGATGTCTGGCGGTGGTTCCAGAAACAGGTTGAGAGGTCAGCGGTGATGAGGCGAAAATAAAATAAAAACCTGATGAATGGGATGACAAACTGGGAGCAGGTGTGGAAAAAGGGCATTCCGCTAAGTCCTTTTGTGGCTGGTCCATTCTGTCACGGGGTGGGATGATGGAGGACTCAAATGCAGGAATGCAAAAAATAATGATTTAATAAAATAAAAGTCCAGGTGAAAACTAAACTCAAAATCCAAGAATACAGAACCAGGAACAAAGACAGAACTTGACATGACGAAACAGGACATTGACATAACAATGGACCAGCAACATGTGGAGAGGGGCACAGGGTAATTATAGACAGGGACACAGGTGAAACACATCAGGGCGGGGCAGACAATCAAGACAGGGGAAACAGCACAGAAGTCAAACTCAAAACCAAACCACAGAGAAAAAATGTCAAAATAAAACCAAAGTACAAAATAACAAAATCCACACCGTGACAAATAGATCCTGACAGAATGACTAAAAGAGGAGACACAAATTCACCCTTGCACGTGTTCCCAGCTGAGTAACCTGTGATGTTCGGGTATATCTAAAAATAATATTCTAATAAAGCTGCTGTCCTGTTCTTCAATTAACCTGCTCATTAAATACTCATTAACCTCTCAGTGGATGTAATAATAAAAAAGCATTAGTTTTATATGTGATTTTGCTTCACATTACATTATTCCTTCACTTCATCCACTTCAAGTCTCCCATACAACATAATTTGTCATATTTTCTATTACAAATTTTGATGACTGGACTGTATTATTTACTGAAATGCAGATAAATCCAAGTTTTTTTTATTTAAATAATCCCTTCTGCGTCTTAGTGGTGGTTTTAAAAGACATAGGCCCTTACACAAGCTAAGCTGCTTAATTTTAATGCCACAGTCATTACCCTTTTTCTGCTTTTGGTGGAAGCGTGTGTCTATATTTAGGCTAACTGGGCTAATAAAACGGGATTAGGGCAAAGGCTGGCACTGATTGAAAAAATGCTGCACATCATAAAGAACGTAGCGTTGACAGATTCTATGCAGTGGTTTGTGTGAGGATTTTTCAGTCACCTGACAGGAACATGGGTGCAAATCAGACAGGCATGATAGACAGGATAGAAAAAAATGGGAACATTTACTGGGGACCAATTTCCAATATTTGAACCATGATACATACATAACATTAACATGCACATCAATGTCAACTTTATCTATTGAGTGATTCTATCTATGCCAAATGTGACATGTAAATGTCTCCATTGTGAGATCAATAAAGTTTTTTTATCTTATCTTATGCAGTGAAGAACCAGCATGAAACACATAAATACATGTAATTTATATATATGGTGTCGAAAGCAAGGCATACGAATGTGCCTTTGGACAAGATTTGAAAGTCTCCAATGAAGGAGCTGCTCACATTTTCAAAGATATATCTTCTGGGGTTGAGCAACTTTAACATCATAAACAAGCACCAGCATCTTAAAATGAAGAGAGTGAAGTGCGGCCAGCTCAGGGGTAATGTGCGATTAGTCGTAATGACGATCAGTGCTCTCTGGTAAACACGTTAATAATGGCGTTAAAGGCACACCGTGTAACTCTTGGCCACTAGGGGCGCTAGACCTGCAACTTTCACGTTTAGCGCCCCTAGTGGCCACAAGCAACTCAGCACTGTCGCAAAAGTCAACAAACAGTCAGCCGGTGTCTTTTGAGTGTGTATTCAGACAGCATGCACTGGTGTGTGTGTTCAAACTGTAGAGACATGCCTACAGATATTGAGAGACTCTGCTGTGGTCAGCCTCCAGACCGCTGCATTAGTAATCTACCACACATGGACTTCTATATCCTGGATGAGGGAGTTCTGCGTCTAGCTCGTGCTGCGTGGAATGACATCTTTGCAGTCGATGACATCCAGGAACCAGGTGAAGAGCAGCGCTCATACAGACATGCAGCTTACAGCACGATCCCTTTCGCGTTTCCTCTTTTTAGCCTCCTCCGAAGGTTTAAAATTTTTCCTTGCCTCAGCCATGACCAGGAGTCGAGCAGGTGAAAAATGAGTAGCAAAAGCCTTAGCTCCATGAGTATATCAGCGCCTGTAGCCGTAAAGCAAGTCTTTCTTCCAAGTCACGTGACCTGGTGGCAGACGGTCCGTCTGCTCGAAACTTACATGGGCGGTATTTCAAGAGGGCAGCCCCGCTCGGAGCATTGCAAGTGTCAAGCGCTGTATATTGGCCCAAGTATTCATATAAAATAACTCATATGTGTCAACTCTTTAGGTCACAAAGTCCGCGGTGTGCCTTTAACACGAAGTCACACGATTAACGCATTATGTATGTATGAGTGTCAGTGTGCGTAATGCATGCTCCAGGCTTCTACCACGGGCACGTATCGGAAATCAGCCACTCCGCTGCACAAGGCCTTCTGGGAAACAAAACCAGTCGATCATAAGTAGAAAAACATCTAACTGACTTGAAAGAAAACAACAAACAGTTGTCTTTATTGGACAATTCAAGTCATTTTTACAATGTCAATTCTATACACTGAAAAAACAATAACAAAAGTATGCAGGGATTGAGTAGTCTATCATAACAAACAAACCAAATGCTTTCTTTTTGGAGAAGATTGGATTAACGTAAGCTTTTTTCTTCATCAAAATACAAAATCAAGGGACATTTGGAACTGGGAAAAATGTGAGATTAACTGTGTGTGCAAGTTTGTGCAGGTGCAACCATATACTCATGCACCTGCTTCATGTTCAAACTAAAAAAGGCCATATACTTATTTCCTTCTAAAAGCTAAAAGATTTATCCTCAAATGTTGCATTCTCACCACATCTGTAGTTCTGACATTTCAAAAATGAGGGTATAATGTTAAACTCCAAAGTGACCACTGAGTTTTCTCTGAGTTATGTGGCTGCGTGCTGCTCCCTGTAATTTGTCTTCTGTTGCAGTGCTATAGGTCTGCTGGGCCGGCATTCTTGGGCTGCCCCCATCACAGCAGTTCAAAGCTCCAGCCACAGCTGTTCTGAAGGGGAAATGAGTTTCAGATGGTGACTGTGTGTGCAGCGGCCCATCTCTCCACATTAGAGGCTTTTACTGTACACTAGGTCCAGTCCCCGGGGTACAGAGGGTGAGTAGTGCAGGAGGTGGGTGTGCCGTGCTCTATCTGGTGGTCCCCAGAGCAGCTTAAGATGAAGATGTTTAAACTTGCACTGCAGATGCCATTTATGCACAGTTCTATTGCCTTCTTCACATGATTACAATATCTGATTGTCTGCAAATGAGGTTTATAGTGACCTGACAAGGGAGCAGATTTAGAGGCAACGGGAGCATCGCGTTTGGTTCAATTCAGTTAAATTTATTCTTATATAGCCCTAAATCAGAACAGTAGTTATCTCAGGACAATACAAAACCGTTGAATTCGCCAGCACACATCAAAGATTCAAACGGTTCAAACAAAATGAATGCAATAGAAAACACATACAGTATAATGTAAATGTGCACTTTGTTGTCAGCCGTTGGGAAATTTGTCCTCTGTATTTGACCCATCCGTACTGCAGCGCCCTGGAAACCATTTCAAGATGTTGATGCTCGGCTTGGTCAGGACTACCGGAGCTGGAGGATTTTACCTATTGAGCATATTTTTAGTGGTAGGGGAAATTGGAGCACCCGGAGGAAACCTACGCAGACGCGGGGAGAACCTGCAAACTCCACTCAGCAAGGCCCTGTTCAGACCGGGTTTCGATCCTAAGACCTTATTGCTGAGAGGCAAGAGTACTATCCACTCAGCCACCATGCCGGCCCTCATAAGGGGCAGATGACCAATGTCCATAAATGTTGAAAAAGTCCATAGAATGTCGAGTGTCCTGGATCAACACCACTGTCTTTAAACCCATGTTGTTTACACCAGCAGGAGATCAGGGCAACAAAATAGTTCTTACCCCACATACTGGACAGGGACTTAAGTTCTAACATACCAAGGCACTCCTGCCATCAAGCAATAGTAATCATAATCAGCCTGTATGATTGGGCTGAAGACGCCATCAAGACGTTTTTTTGTTATGTTTCAAAAAGAAGGAGGACCCAAAATTCAATACAGCATAAAATAAAATAAAAAAACAAAAATCCCAAAATAAAACTCAACAAAATGTAAAACACAGGAACAGGACAAAGACAAGAACTGCGAAACAAACACTTAATATTCCCTAACAACAAGAGGGAAAGAGTACAGGGAATTCACCTGGGACACAACAGAACAGGAAGTAAAACTCAAAAAGAAACAACAGCAGTTTGGTACTTTACAGCCGCAGCCGCCCCACTGTGGCACCTGGTGTCTTGCCCAAGGACACAACGACAGCAGACATCAGTGGGAGTAAATAAATACTTTCTCGGTGAGTACTATAGTGAAACAGTTGCCAACTCGGCACTCGGTATGTCCTGCTGTGTCATGCGAGCATGGTACAGCTCAAAGCATATTGATTCCTCGACTGCAATCACCATCCATCCTGCTAAATTATGCATGTAAAACCATGAATTATACTGTTAAGAAAGCTGACGGTGGGATTTTGACACACAAGGACACATATTTATTTTATCAAGCGGGCTAAAACACTCATCTGTCTTTCATCCTGATAATGTTGTCGTTTCAACAGCCACACAAACCTGCTTGTACAATATTTCCGTGACATTATTTTAGCAGAATGAGCCACATCACGGCACTAAAAATAAATCACGTTCAGCCAAGCATTGCAAGCATAATTCCATTTGTAAACTGCTTATTTGCAAAAGGCTAATCTGCACCATTGTCACATCCAGAAGTCTCAGGATGAACGGGTCTTTAAGGGCTTTGTGTTGCGAAGGGTCAACAGTGTATCATAGTTTTGCCGGTCTATTTCACGCATGGCTGACCGTGTGTGTAACGTGTGTGTATTGCTAAGAAGCAGCTCCACATTTGTCCTGGAAAATGTCTACCTTGTGTCAACCGCCACCTAAGAAGAAAAACGTTTAACCTATTTGGAATTATTGGAGATATTTTGGATTTTGATTCAACGTTTCCAAAGTGTTGTACAGAACATAATAATCGTAACATCAAATAAGCATAATAAAAATGTATCTTACAATGAAATACAAAGATATAAAATATTAAAACCCCCTGTAATCTCCAACTACATATTGTTTGTAATCTCTGTCTACAATGTATCTGAACTAGTCCTTTTCTTTGTTTCTATTTTTTTTTCTGTATATGTGTTTGTCTGCAATAAAAAACAAAAAAAACAATATATATATATATATATATATATATATATATATATATTTATATATTAAAACCCATATAACATTAAAATCATAAATTAAAAATACATAGAATAAGACCCAAATCCTATAATACCTTCAGCACATAATTTCTGTAGCTCAGAACGGCCTAAAGCAGTGCTCTTTAGCCTCCTTGAGTTGACACCACTGGCTCTAAACATGTACAGTAGGTAGAATCCTCCAGCTGCGGTGGTCCTGACCAAGCCGAGCACCAACATCTGGAGATGGGTTTTCCGGGCGCTGTGCAACGACAATGGAAGCCTTAGTGGCATCAGGATGTTATGTAATGTAATGTTTATAAATGTAGCGCATTTTACAGACACAGGTCACCCAAAGCGCTTTACAAAGTTCAGAAGGGTCAAAGGCAGAGGATGTATTGCCCCCCGGAGATAAATAAAGAGCACCTTTACCTTCAATATTGTATTATTTCTATTAGGATTGAGATAATAATTTTTTTTTCACATTCTGTTTTCCCATTGGCAGAAGGTGGGGGAAGGCAGCTATCTTTGTAAACAAAGATTGGTTTAGGGCCAATTTCAAAAACATAGGAGCGGGTTGGGGCCAAAAATGCAATCACAACTGGGCCAAATATGTATTTATTTGTTTATTTAGGATAGTCCCATTGAGATACATCACCTCTTTTTCGAGGAGGTCCTTTTATATCAAATATTACAAAAAGATTTACTTGGAGATTCATGATTGAAAAAATTTGCCTAACTTAATGTTTAATTACGTTTCAGTCAATATTTTAGAAAATATTCTATTGTTTGGTTGT